CCCGCCGCCACCATCGCCCTTCCCGCCCGCGCGGGGACCCCCCCTCGGCTCCCCTCCCTCCTCACAGCCGCCGCCATGTTGGGCCGGGAGCCGCAGCGGGGCCGCCACTGAGCCCCGGAGCCTGCGAGCAGGAGGCGGAGGAGGAGGCGGAGGAGGAGCCCGGGCCCGGCCGCCCCGCAGAGCCCAGCGCCGGCCGCCCAGCCGCAGCCATGGCGGAGCAGACCTACTCCTGGTGAGCCGCGGGGCCGAGGCCGCGGGGGGGTCCGACCCGGCCGGGCCGGGCCGAGCGCGGCCCCGCGCGGGGACGGTGTCCCGGGCGGGGGGGGCCGGCGGTGGGGGCTGCGGCGGGGGCCGGGGCACGGAGGAGCACGCTGTGGAGGGGCTGCGGGCTGAGGGTTCGGCGCGGCTGAGGAGGAGGGATTAGGGGGAAAGGGGGAGGGACGGGGCGGCCGGGCTGTGCGGATCCCCCCGGCGGCAGCCGGGCAGCGGGAGAGGATCGCCGGCAGCATTGGCGTGGCTGTCACCCCTGTCCCGGAGGGCTCCGTGTGGGCTGATCTCTGCACGGCCGGCGCTGCCATCCGCGGGGCCTGGAGAGGGACAGGAGCTCGTTCACGGCTGTGAGGCTGCAGGTCACCTCTGCCTAAAGGGAGATTTATGCCAGCGCAGGCTGGTAAGTCGGTGGCATGTGTGTGTGTTTTCACCTAGCGACAATAGGCTTGGTCTGTGTACAGGAAATAGGACAACGAGGAAGAGACCAGTTCCTGTGGAAAGACATGAAGTATAGCAAATGAGAGGGCATTTTTTCCTGTGTCCTGACACTGTCTCGGGCCTAGCTGGCAGTGGATAAAAGAGACGAGGTGCAGTTTCTTCCTATAAATTTGGGGGTTTTGTTCTGTTGTGGATCACAGCCAAAATACCTCAAATAATTTACCTGCACATCATCTCTATTGACCTGACCACTGCAGCAGTTTATTGTGATATTCTCACTGCATTTTAAATCCAGTGATGTCATCCAGAGTAGTTTCTTAGATTTCTTGAAAAAAGTAACTTGTTTTGAAATAAGTCCCTTATTAAAAAATGAGGTAAATCTCAGATTTTGACCTTGGTGTGTGCTGAATGTGAAGAAGGGCTTGAACATGAAAAAATATCCCTGTTCTGAATGGTCCCATTACTTTTCAAAACTTGGAACCCAGTGGGGATTTCTGTTCTGCCACATGTTGAGGCTTTGGCAGCCACTTCTTCCCTCTCCTGTCCTCTTCTCTGACAAGAACCAACATTTGTGTTGGTCTTCTGCTTTTCAGATATTCTTATTTTGTTTCACAAGCTCAGTTCAGGCAGTGGTCTGGTCTGCTTTAAAATAGCAGTGAAAAGACAACTCTTTTGACTTAAAAGGTCATTTACATATTGACACAGTAAATGAATATTGGTACAGATTTAGGCAGTTTAATGAAGTTCAGTTAAATGTGTCTTAGTGTGTTTTAATTGCAGAATGAAATGATAAATTCATAAACTCTTGGATTTGTCAGCTTTCTGTAAAGTACATTAAACAAGATGTCAGTTATACATTATTTTAATCTTAACTCATTTGCTTTTTTGAATGAGTGTTTTTGCCATAGTACTAGTCTAAAGGGAGGATTTTTAACAGGCTGAGGGAAGGATTTGCTTTTCTGTAGGTTGCATATTTTAGGGGCATGAAATTGTGATTTAAGGTGTTCACTGTGCTAGGTGGATCTGAAGAATGGAAGTTCTTTCTTACAGTTCTGAGGTTGTAGCAGAATGAGGGCATGATGTGTCTTAAAACCCTATAATTTTAGGTCTGTATTCTCTGTGGTGTCCTCATGGACCTGAGGTTTCTGTCACTTTGCATTTTTACCTGTACTCAGCCTTGCCTGGGAGCTATGGGAGCAGTGGACAGAGCAAAAATCCATTTTCAGTCATGCTCCCTTCTCTGTGGGTATTTCATTACTTACACTTCTAACAGCAGTCTTGCCCTGGTTTATTTACAGTTGTGGTGATGCAGCTCAGAATTGGGCAGTGCTTTAGCACTTTTAGAAAAATGCATTTTGTCACCTGGGGAGGCTGGTGCTCCTGTGCAGCAGAGCTGTGCCCAGGAGCTGGTGCAGGAGCTCTGTTTGGGAGCTGGCTGATCCCATCCTGTCCATTTGCCAGACCTGGGCCTTTCTCTGTGTTGCAAAGGCAGCTTTCCAAGAACAGCTGTGTTGTGTGGTGCAGTGTCCAGCTGCTGTACACATACCCTATTTCACATCTGAAAATGCATCATCTGGCATTAAGAAAAACCCTTTCACACCCCTGTCTCTGCATGGATGTAAAGTGGTTCCCTTTTGTCCAGGTGCAAAAGGCTTGGTTCCATCTTTTTGTCCCTGTCTGCATGTGTTGTTGAACCACTGTAGCTTCATAAGGTATGATAAAAGCTTATTGTGGGTTTGCTTTTTTGAGAAAAAAAGGCTCAGTTGTGTTAAAAATACTTTGAAAGAAGGTACTTGCCAGCTGTGATTAGTGGACATGAGCATTGCTAAACATGAAAAATAGGGCTTGTTTCAGTGAGTGACAGTCTTGTTAACCATGTTGTTTTCAAGAGATGAGAACTAATTCTCATATTGCTTTATTTATTGGTTTGTAAATATAAATCTGAGATTTTAAGGTAGGTTTATGTATTTATTTTAAATTCCAAGGGAACTGAATGCAATTACTTTCTTTTATTAAGATACTATTAAGATACTATAAGGAGACACTTGGCTTTTTCCTCATCTCTTTCATAGTTTTAAATACATGAGTTACCTTTTGACAGTGTTCCTGTAAGGTATTTCTTCTGACAACTTCGTTTTTTTTCAGTAGTGCCCACACCTATAACCATATATACTTGTATTTAGCTCTTTTTTAGTGTCTTAAGTCATCTTGCTGAGCCAGTATTTCAGATAGAGGTGTCTTATCCTGAAAAGAGGCTCTGCTGAGAATTTTGCTGGTGAAAAAGAATACTGTCATCCTGGAAAAACTAATTTTAATCTGAAATGTGGGATAAGTCCCAGATGGAAATACTCTTTCAAAGAATATGGACTTTTTCAAAAGAAAAGGTGTTTGAATCAAATGCTTGTCAGCAGTGAGTAGAGAAACTTTCTTTTGTCAAGTTCCTGTAATGATAGAAGGAAAGGAGAGTGTATGTGTATGATACTGCTGCATGGCAAGGTTGCTCATGATTTTATAGATTAAATAAGAGCTAAAATTAGTTTGCTGCAAGTGGAATAGAATGGGAGAGGAAAGAGGTTGTTGAATACCCATTTTCCCCTTGCTTCCTGTCTGTGCTCCAGCGAGGAAATGGAACAGGGTAGTGACAAAAGTTTCTGCTACAGCAGAGGAGGGAATAAGCATGGGCACAGCAGTGTGTATATATATATATATATATATGTGTGTGTGTGTGTGTGTAAGAGATTAGTGAATACCAAGAAATTTATCTTCAGGCACCAAACTGTTGCAAGTGTGACAGCAGATGAGTATGGAAGCAGTAGGATCTAGATCATTGCTTTGTGAAATACTTGGTTTGTCCTTAATTTCTAGCATTTTGTGGTGATTTTTTTGTGCTGGAGCCTATTGAGAAGGCACAGCACCATTCCTATCTTGTTTATCTTCAGTTAGTAGGTGTTTAGTGTTTTTCAAGGCCTGATGTAACACCCCCTCCCTTTTTACTGCTGCCCAGCCTGGCAATAGAGATTGCTTTGTTCTTTTTTTGCCCTTTGAATGCACAAAAGATTTTCACAGCTTCCTTCATTGGTGAAGAGCAAAGAAGGGGATTTCTACACCAAAATCAAATGTATTTTTAATATTTCCTTTCAGGAGTGTTGTATAAGGATAATAAGGATTGCCATGCGTGCGTGCCTCTCAGGGTGGTGCTTAGGAGACAGACTGGGAGGGCAAGCTAAGAACAAAAAAAGAAGGCGCTGTATTGAGTCACTAATCTTAAAAACAACTGAACTCCCTCTTAAATGTTATAATCAGTGGGATGATTCTTGTATTAGCCATCAAATGTTTCATGAGTGAAATGGTGATATATTTAGAAGCTTCCCTTCATAATGCAAAGGGTGTGGAAATTAAATCTAATGATGTGTCAGAGTAATCAATAAAACTACTGGGTTTTGGAATAAGTGTAAATGTACAGTGCTGTCTTTGCTCCTGGGAGAATTCAAATTGGTTGGTGTTAGAAGTCTTTCTAGATTCAGAGGCCTGAGAATTTGCTTTGATTGCAATTAAGCATTTAACATGCTGCTGCCATGAATTAAAATGCAGTTTCTTCCAGAAGACTCAGGTGGTGCTTTCAAGTCTTAGTTGGCTGGATTAGATGTGTATGTGGGAGGGCAGAGAGTAAGAGGAGCTGCAGCTTATTGACAGAACTTGTCAAGTACTAGTAAAATAATTTTTTGCATTCAAGATTTTTTTACTTGTTTGCTCAGTTTAGGTTGGGAGACCTTAACTGACTAATTAAGGTGTTTGGGGGATTGGAGGCAGTTTACAACAGAAAACAAATAATTCACCTGAATTTTTAAAATACTGCACTTGATAGGCAACAGATTGCAAAGCACATAGATTAAATTCTGTTGTGCTGCTGTCAAAAATCTGTCATGAAATGTGGAGTTTGGCTCTTAATCTTGCATTTTTCAGGAACTGAAATTACCAGCCACATTCCATTTTAAGGATTGTTAGGAGCCTCCTGAGAACAAGGATGTCATTGTATGAATGTGCATGAGTATCTAGCATGAGAAAAGTGACTTAAACCTCAGTAAATTTGAGAATATCAGGTTTAGAGTTCATATGTTTGTCTTTCAGGACTAGTCTCACTTCACTTGTTTGTTACCCTCCCTGGAGCTTTTGCTGTCTCAGGCTGTGTGTCATGTAGATGGGGCACTGTCTACAGCACTGGGCTGAAAGACAAATAAAGCAAAGAGCATGGGATAAGTAGAAGTTTACAGTAACTTGAATGTACATGTGTATAGTGACTGATTAGCACAAGGAAGAAAAATCCTCCTGTCAGTTTGCTAATTGTAAGGCTGTATTTACTGATATATTGATAACTCTTTAAGAAAAAAATTCAAGCGAAGAACAGGAATCAATATTCTCTCAGTGCTGGTGTGCAGTACCTGTTTTAATTTTGATTTCTGTCACCTATTTTAGTTAAGATTTCTGTCAGTTCTGCATTTAACCTTTTCAGGATACTGTGGTAATAAAAGTTAGTGGTTCCTTTAGTTTTACCCAGTGACTGGAGATCTTGGCTAGGATGCAGGAGATCAGTTCCATCCCCCAGGGTTTCTGGCCTTGCATCTCTCACCTTCTTGGGGAGTGTTCTCATCACCAAACTATGTGTTATTCAGAGGCTGAGCTTTTTGTGTCCACTTAAATCTCTTTCACTTCTTGTAAAATACTGTAAATATTTGCTGGGCCAAGAGGTAGGAATGCCTTTCTGTCTGGGATTGGAATAGACCTGGAAATCCTGCCTGGATAAAAACCTGGTTTGGAAGACTGAAGGGTCTGTAGTTTGTGGGGTTACTTCAGGCTGCTTTTCTAAGGTAAGAAGATGAACAGAACATGAACAGAAGATGACCTGAATGTGATTTCTTGTGTCACAGGTAAATGAGTGCTTAGGTGTGTGTATCCAACAATATC